CGAGCGGAAGCGGGTACCTGAGAGCTGGAGCAGGGACATGGCGAAGTGTGCGCCGATGGCAGGGGTAACCAGATGCGCAGAGAGAGTGTTCTTCCTGCAATAAAAATTACAGGCAGCGCACGAGTTGCACCAAAAACATTATCGAGTGGACGCTTAAAGATTTCTGCAAGAGCTTTTGCATGCACAGAGAGACTCCGGGCATTCTGCTGCATTTGCAGGCCACTCCCAAAGTCTGACAGATTGACCAGGTTGGAGTCTAATGGGTCAACTCAAACGCCGTTTGCTTCTCACAAACACGACATCCCACAAGAAACAACTTCAATCACTCCCATAGACATTCCCACCCACCCACCATCCAGGCAGCGGGCTGAAAACTCGGCTTTCCGGTGTTATCAGAGCATGGTCCCTAGCGACTACGCTGCGAGTGAATCCGGGCAGGTCTGAAATCAAGGAAGGATGCAAAATATGCAAGGAAAAAGGAGGAAGGGGATCGATGCACGGAGAAAAAAAAATGGAACTGGAGGTTACAGGGCGATGAACGATAAGGAGGAAACGGCTGATACCCTCTATTATCAATCTTCAACCCTAGCAAACAGGCAAATAAGTCTGAATGACGATCCTTGAGTGAAACCATACACCGTGAGAACCCTGTTACATACATGCACCGTGCAAAGTGCATACATGCACCTTCCCGGTTGACTATGTCAGGGATAAGCTTCACTGTCGTACGAAAAGTCCAGTCCCACTTCCCATCTTTCAAGGGAGTATTTACACACCTTCCATGTGAACCGTGTCAAGGGTGGGTTCCAGGACCTTCCCGTACATGCCAATGCCATTTCGTGCGCCTGCCGAGGCGGGAAGACAGGATTAAGCGCAGCAATGCAAACCAGTCGAACGATGCAGAAAAGAAAAGAAAAGACCCAGTAAATGACGACCATTGCCTCTATACTCCGTCGAGTGATTTTACGCGAGGCATGATCTTGCATGTATGCAAGAAAAAAACGAGTTCGTGCTGTCTTACCGTCAGCGGCGGCTTCGGAATTTTGCAATAGTCTTGCAGACGCTAGAGCAAGCAGAGCTGCTATAAATTGACAGGCACAACGAGGTTTTAGCGCCATGGTTGCAGGCGGAGGACTCCTGGAAGTAATCTTGTGTGGACAGTGCACGGCACCTGTCTTGTTTGGGGTGATTGATCGATCTAGAGGTTCAGAGGGTGACGGTACTTCGGGTGCTAGACCAGGGAAATTGTCATATCCTTGGGTAATGTCAGTCGCGCTTAGCTGAAATGTGATGCCACCTCTGCCAAGTGTCGTTTTGGCGTTGTGCTATATACCCTTGGATTTGTTGAACATTCCAAGACTTTGAGCAGAACAAAGAAGTTCACTCCTGACTTGGTGTCATGTTTGCAAAAGCCAGTGCATTTTCCGGCGTTTAGGAAACGAGATTCCTGACTTGCTTGCATGATGCAAAATGTACTCGGGAACGCGTGCCGTTTCACTGCATTTGAGGGCACATTGCAGATACGATACGAGACGTGTGACAGCTTCCTGTAACACCGCAACCAATCTCGCCCCAATCGCCCCACCCCAAGCCGCGCTCTCGAACTGAGGGTTTCGCGGTTTGTAACTTGGGACCTGGGCTTTAAAATTGAGAGCACATTGCGGATCCGATACGAGGCGCCTGACAGCTTCATGTGACACCGCGAGCACATTTCAGTTTGAGTCACGCAAAGGGACATCATTCATGTGCAACCCAGGGAGCAGGGCCTCCTCGTCACCTTCAAGGACATCTGACGAAAGGAATCACTGAGGTGGTCTCAGGGATTCCTGCTTGAATCAGACAGTTGGCATGGCAACTACCACATGGCAAGGCTCTGAATGTTTTTCACCCAAGATGGATTTCAAATGCTGGCTCTGTTTCCCCCTCTACCAGTCCAGAATCTCAAACCAATTTCTGGTTCTGACACGTTTATCCATCGTCCTGGCTAGCTAAGTATCCTGGTTCAAGTCTAGTGACCACACGAGGCCTGAATTTAGCGATTCCGTTCTTAAAGAAAGTTCTCTTATTTGGCTGCTTGCAAGAAATGGGCAATCCAAGCAGCGCAGTAGATGCCGAGAAGCGCATTCGTGTCATGAGGATGATGATGAAGCTTCAAGATCTGAAGAGAAGAAGTAAGAGACAGGCTTCAGCAACTTAGTGCATCCCATCACCTAGATGTTAATGGTGTTCTTGTGCAGTGGATGGGTTGGAGCATTCCTCATCTGGTGGAGAAGCGAACGGGCGGCAGTCAATGGGCCTAGTAAGTACTAGAACAATGTTCTTCTCTAAGCGTTTCTTTATCAGACGTCTACTCGGGCTAACGACCGTTCTTGCAGATTTCTATACGTAGACGCTTCCGGTTATTCATGCTGGCGTCATGGGCTGTCGCCATTTTCCTTGCAATCGGCTATGCAATCATATAACGGTGTCTATCAAGATTCAAGACGCAACAAGTCGAGTATTAGAACCGCGGTGCTATTCCCGCTGCATCCAACTCGCCTATTATGAGGTTGTGGTTCGTGCAATCAATTTTGTGTCAACAGATTGTAAATATGGTCGGACATAATGGCATGGATGAGTACTGATATTGCTTTATGCAGCTGAGGCTGGGCTTCCGTCCAGAAACTAGGATACAAACGCTTAGATGAATGTGACAAACAGTACTTCAATTTTCACTTCTTCATCATTCCGATTTCAGGCTTGGGCGACACCCTGTCAAAATCATCCTACGGGCCTGGCGGGGAGTTGCAGCACCTCTGCAATTGGAGGGTAATCATACAACTTGGGAGGGAACCCAGCTGAAATGAGCCTTGGCCCAACCAACCAAGCCACTGCTGCACCCCCGAGCAGGCCTCCAAGGTGTCCCGAGTTATCAATGTTCCTCCACAAAGCTCCCAGAACCAGGTTGAACATGACTGTACTGCCTAAGCCACGCAAATACGCCGACCCCCTCAAGCTCAGCTGCTTCTTGTGCCTTAAAAAGAACACCCCCAACGCCCCCACCAGCCCAAAAATTGCTCCAGATGCACCTACAGATGGCGAAGGGTTGAGAACAAGGCTGAGAGCTGAGCTGGCCAGTGCTGATGCCACATAAATGCCAGCCATACGCCGGTCTCCGAGCAGCGACTCAGCATCAGGGCCGATGGTATTTAGCGAAAGTGAGTTCACTATGAGATGCTGAAGATCAGCATGGAGAAACGCAGATGACAAAAGTCGGTAATACTGGCCCTGGCGAACATAAGAGTTGACTTTAGCCCCAAGCAAAAGAAGGCGATTGCTGGAGAGGACTTGGAGGAGAAAAGCGGCAGCGTTGAGGGCTAGGAGAAAATCAGTCAGCTTGCGATGCGCCCGAGAACCACCAGGAGACCAAGGCCAGATGGGCCCACTGGAAGGGGGACCGAAAAGGTTACTTGGGGAGCTGCTGTTACCACCGCCGTAGGATCCCCCACGGAAAGCGTTGGTGGTAAAAGGGGATTTAGAGTTGTGAGGTGAGGACGGTGGGAAGGGAGGTAGTAAGTGGAGAGAGGATTGTAGGCCAGGCAGGGTTGTGGATAGGATGTGAGGGAGGGCGAAGGGAATTGAGCGAAGGAGAAGAGTGAGAGAGGCGGATAGTGATTGTGATAGCGGGTGAGGGGAGGAGGGAGAGGAACCGGCTGAAGGGAGAACAGCCGATTGTGAGCTGCTGGAACCACAACCGCTTGTGGTACCTCTGTTGACAGGATCGGTAGCACCAGGTTTCGTGCTGCTGCTGCTGCTGCTGCCGTTACTCCCGCAACCTTCCATGATTTCTCCTCCAAAGCCAGAGCCCCCCTCCACTTCTCCTCCCTGACATTCAACAGAGATTCTCGACTTTCCATTCGCCCTCCTGTGGACACGAACTGTGCTTCGCTGGGACGCTGCTCGCTGATTGACCAGCGCGCGGTGCTGCAGTAACAGGACCGTGGGAAGCGGGCCATAGCAGTTGACTACCCTCATGGATTGCGATGCCAACCCTGATGACGGCGAGTATCCGCGAAACGGGGAGGCGTGAAACGAGGATGAACTCCTGGGCGCTGAAACCCACCCTGGTCCGCCTGGCAACATGGTGATTGCTCGCGGGCTGGTCCGCCTTCTCCGGCCGGCCCTTGCTCCTCCCTACTTGAACCCTTGCTCCTCCCACGTATTCGATTGATTCAACCCAAAGGCGCTCCTCGCAATCTTTTCTGCAGTTCCAAAGGCGTGGAGCGTGCAGTTCCAACGATTTCGCCTGAAACGACGCGTGCTGTCGAGGCGATTATGTCCTTCTCGCCAATTTGAAGGGATTCTCGCAGTTGATTGACAGAAAGAGCGACCGACCGTGAAGTATTCTGCTGTTACGTATTCTCAATCACAACTGAAGCTCACCAAGCAGCGATGATATTAGCTACATCAGACGTCTTTCACAGCATGGGAATTCTAGACTGAAGAACAATGCGGCCTAGGTTAGCACCTAGGGAGGATTTCCCTCCAAGGACGTGACCCCCTGCTAGGCTCACTGCCCTCTGAAACGAGTGGTTCTGGAAGTGGCACGTGGAAGAGTCCCGAAGTATCAGGAAACCGCAAGTAACCTCGAAATCGGCGAAGACTGAAGCGAAAGTCTGCACGAAACGAACTGCAGTTCGGCGATCAGTTGGCTGCCGACTTCAGTTACGCTTTCTCAAATTTCCCTGATTTCAGTTACGGTGTCACTGGAGACCCCCGAAGGAGCAAGTTTCAGCCTGAAGCTCTCTGAAGTTGAGCCGTCGGTTCACTTCTGCGAGAATGAGGAGAGGCTCGACATTACATGTCTTCAAGTTACTTTCGTTGAAGTGCATTTTATGCCGAAAGTGATTCGCCTGCGATCGCAATCTGCATTGACGAAAACTATGAGATCCCAGAGTATATTCTCTCCTATGGTTGGAACGGCGGCGGTACGACACTTGGTCTGAGACCTGAAGGGCAAACTGAACTCACGGGCAGCATCGAACACGCGCTGGAGGCAGCTGATATTCCAGGTCAGCCTTGGTTCGACGGAGGCCTCTTCTGGAGCTGTCCGTGCGCCTCCGATTTCCGCCAAGGCCGCCGTATCCGCCGCTTCTCTTCGGCGCGACCTTCCCCGCGACCTTCGCCGCGACCTTCCCCGCGACCGCCCCCCCCAACCTTCCCCCGTCCCTTCCGCCGTTCCAGTTGCGCATAGTGGTCTGCTTGGCTCAAGGTCCACCTGCTTGTTACAACCGCCTGCTTGTTACCACCACCTGCTCGTTAAACCGTTGTAACAACTGTTGGATTTTCGGTGACCCTTCTCCAGATCCGATTGCCGAGCTGTCAGCCGCATATCGCCTGGGTGACGGCGGCGTGACTATATCGCGTACTGCATCGCTGTATCGAAAAGGAGGCAGGAATCCGTGACCATCTGGTCGTGAACGGCTACACGTGTCAATCCGTTTCAACCCGATAGTACACGTGTCGAGACGCGATGTTGGGCGTGCTGACGGGGCTGCTGCGAGGCGCGCGGTGCCGGCCAAGGGCTTTAAGTACCTGACGGCGAAGCGCGGCCCGAAGAACTACTACAAGGGCACGGGGAGCCGCACCATGGGACGACACACTAAGAAAGGTGCGCTAGAAGAGGGAAAGGGGGGGTGAAGGGGGGAGGGGGGGGGGGGGGAGTAGGGGGGAGGGAGGAGAAGAGAAGAAGGGGGAAGGAATTAGGGAAGGGATGGGGAGTCACATTAGTGGGCAGCACACTTCGAAAGGTGCGTTAGGGAAGGGAAATCGGAGGAGGAAGGAAGGAGGATACATAGGGTTTCACTTTTGGCCCGAAGAACTGCTACAAAGGGATGGGTAGCCGCAATATGGGGCAACACACTTAGAAAGGTGAGTGCACTGGGGAAGATAAGTAAGGGGAGAGAGGGGAGGGAGGGAGGGGAAGGGGGGGGGGGAGAGGGGGGGGATGGGGGGGGTTGTGGCTATGAGGGGAATAAGGGAAGGGGAGAGTGCAGAAAGACCGTTTTGTCGCACAATGGGTCACTATGCTACTAAACGGGAGAGCAGGGTTCACCATGGGTCGACGCACTAAGAACGGGTCAGTGTACGGGGTGAGATAAGGTGAGAGGTGTTTGTTATGATAGGAAATAAGCGCAAAAAACGCAGAAAGTCACTTGTTATACCTGTTAACGAAAACAGGAGGTCACAACACACTTATCAGCCCAACTCAGCCCAAGTTTCTTTCACCGTGTCTCTTCTAACCTGTTGCCTACAAACGACCGTCGTCACCCCCTGCAGGTGCTTACATTACATCTTAATGGAGGAGAATATGCCAACCTACCCCGTGCCACCTCCATTCAACTTATCAACCCAAATTGCACCCTATCTCTTCTTACATTCCGACCTACAACCGTCGGTCCCCCTGCAGGCGGTTACATATTGATGGAGGAGAAAATGCCAACCTACCTCGTGCCTGACCTCACAAACTGCCAGGTAAGAAACTCACTGGGCCCCCCCACTCACCTCCATGCCTCCATGCATTCCATGCCTCCATGCATCGGGGGGGGGAAGCATGGGGGGGGATGCATGGGGGGAGATGCCATGGGGGGGATGCATGGGGGGGAAGGCATGGGGGGGGAGGATGGGGGGGGAGGCATGGGGGGATGCATGGGGGGGATGCATGGGGGGGAGGCATGGGTGGGGATGCATGGGGGGGGTGCATGGGGGGATGCATGGGGGGGATGCATGGGGGGGATGCTTAGGGGGGATGCATAGGGGGGATGCAATGTGGGGGATGCATGGGGGGGATGCATGGGGGGAGATGCATGGGGGGGATGCATGGGGGGGAAGGCATGGGGGGGAGGCATGGGGAGGATGCATGGGGGGGATGCATGGGGGGGAGGCATGGGTGGGGATGCATGGGGGGGGGGGTGCATGGGGGGGATGCATGGGGGGGGATGCATGGGGGGGGATGCATGGGGGATGCATGGGGGGGATGCTGAGGG